GGCACATTTGTTCACCCTCACTTTATCTTCCAATCGGTGCAACCTGGTCTTGTTGACTCTGTAGCTTACTTGGGGTGTCTGGAACACACAACTTTCCCTGCTAAGGTACACCCCCACCCTGGAGAAATGTTTAAGCAATATGTCCAAATTCTCTAAATGCTTTTTATTGGTCTTCCCACTTATTAGCACATCATCCAGATATGTGGTGACCTGGGGTAGACCTTGTAAAATGTTCTCCATCATCTGCTGAAAAATGGCACAGGCTGATGATACCCAAAAGTCAGTCTTTTATATTGGTAAAACCCTTAACAGTATTAATTGTAGCATATTTCTAGGAATCCTCATTTAATCACAATTGCACATGCGCATGGCTCTTGTCAAGCTTTGTGAAGGGCAACCCTCCCCCCACCAGTGTTGCATATAAGTCCTCTATACTAGGTAATGGGTATTTAGCAAGCTGCAAGGAGTGGTTTACATTTCTTTGAAATCCCCACAAAGGCAAACCAACCTATCGGGTTTCACAATCGGTATGACCAGTTCTGCCCATTCCACAAACTGTTTTGGTTTGATGATTCCTTTGCTGTCCAGCCTCCTGATTTCTGCCTCTACTTTTGGACTGAAAGCAAATGGCGCTGAGCAGACGTTGCAGACTCACAAAATTGTTTCTTAGTCAATGTTTAAGGTGGGCTCGAACCCCTTAAAGTTCTTAGATCTCTGGGTATTTAAATAGGACTTCACTCAGGCAACCATTTTCTGATTGAAACATTTTGAGCCAATCAATTTGAATCTTTCTCAACGAATTTTGCCCCATCAAGCTTGGGCCCAAGCCTTTTACTACAATCAGTGGTACGAGACCAGAACTGAAGTTGTACCGTTAATTGTAGGGGCTCCCCGTTACAGGTTCTCAGCCTGGCTGAGGCCTTAGGTAAACTTAAAGATTGGAGTCCAGAATTTTGCTGAAGACTAGCTCTGCAATCACTGATACAGCTGCACCAGTAAGGATCTCCATTAGAATCGCCCGACCATTTCACCAGATGTTTATTTTGACTGGGTCTGATTTGGATGTTGCTAAGCAATTTTAACTGAAGCCTGATTCACACTCAGAAGACAGGAATGGTTTCTCTCCACTGTCAACCTGCTACATCCATCCTTGACCAAAATACAACTATATTAAGATTACAATAAATTGTACAACTCTATCTGATCCTGAGATTGGTTTCAGTTTCTGACTGAAAATCTTCCCCCTCCAATGCCCCACTGTGGGTAATTCACCACAACTTACTTTTAATTTGGCTACTTATTAAGAAATCAAGTCAAGTACTGAAATAACGATTTGAACTTTATTGCACGTAGCAACCAAAATAAGACCCCTTAAGGAACAAAGTTAAGGCTCACAACTCAACTTGGCTATTACCTGTTTAATGGTGGAATTTAGCTATGATTTCAACCAACACTCTGTCTCTGGAAGTTTCCAGGGTTCAATCCTTGTGCAGTCTTGATCTTTGAAGTTCAGCTAAAGGGGGCATTCTGTTGTTGGATTCTTACACAGATTTGCGTCCTCCAGGTCTATGATGTAATATTAGTGATGATATTTTTGGAGTCCTTTCATTCAAAATATTGATTACTCTTTTGCAGTCCTTGAGTCTTCAGCTTGCTTTCTTATGAGAAGTAGCTTCTTTATCCCTTGTTATATTTGGCCTTAACTGGCTGATCGAAGACACCAGTTACCAAGCAGGTGACAGAGCAGTTTTGTTTATGCAATCTCAACTCCTTATTTTCCCAGACATGGCTAATTGCTTCCAATCTCTATGCAACTGCTTGTCTTTGTCCCTTTACAGCTTATTCCAGAGTTATTGCTGCTTCTTTCCATGTGTAACAGTTCATCTTTGTTGATTCTTTCAATACATGAACAGTTATTAAAGTTTGGGAGTCTATAATATCACAACCCTAAGAAATTGATGTTAAAAAGAAAAAAAAAGTGGAATGGGAGAGAACAAAAAACACACAAAGGCAGGTTGTGAAATTGAGCTGAATGAATCAGGTAATTTGCGGGACAGGAAAAGAAACTGTGATCCTGAAAACCGCTGGATGGTCATAAAACATTAACTGATTCAATAATGTCCATCAAGTAAGAGAACCTGCCACCTGGTCTGGTCACACACAAGACTCTGGTGGGAGACCAGTGAAAGAGGCAGAGTATAAAGCAGAAGAATTTTATTTTATCAACAACTCTAATAGAATTCTGACAAATTCCTCCAAATCTTCCAACCTCCATCACCTTGAAAGACCAAGGTAGAAGTGAACTCAGCTAGGAATAGATAGGAGCAAGTCTTTATAAACTTATTAAAACTGTCCAATTAATGAAGACTTTTTGAACTTGTCATTGACCCAAAATAGCAAATGAAAATAAGGTGAATTTTACAAACTTAAAATTCAAATAATGAAACTGAAGGTTCAACACAGTTCCGGCAGACCCTGTGTAACAGAGTGTGTCAGTCACGTCAGTCAAATTTCCAACTTAATCAGTTTTATTTTTGAACAAATGCATCCTCAGCAACATGCAGCAGTCCTCTAAGCTGGTTGTCACAGTGAACCGGGCATTTTTATCTTGAAAACAATCATGCAGAATCAGACTTCACCAACTCAAACTGTAAGTGTGTAGAATGGGATCTGTGTAAATTAAATGAAATCAGTTTATGATGGACTTCTCGACGCCAAATGTAACTGTTGAACCGAGTCAGGCCGCATCGCATATAACTGTCGATCAGTTCATGAAAAATTCAATACACATTTATTGAACTTGCCCACTTCCACCACAGGAATAACCGCACTGCTCATTGAAGTCTGTGCTTGACTGTACCATGTTTGACTGTAATGTGTGAAATCTCACTGCAGTACTATATGTGCCTGAACTGAGCCTGGATCTGGCTGTGCTGAAAGTAATCTTATGCCAGACTGTATCGACCACCCTGAAGGTGACCTGTCCTGGATAAGAGGGAAACATGATTGCATAACAGTTCAATAGTGATAGAAACCAAGCTAATCTACGCATAGAATATACAAGTGGAAAACAATACTATGTTGAACTCCAACAATACACATTGAACTTATAGGCACTAAACGGAACATTCTCACACCCAATGTACATGTGCTAAACTGAATATAATCACATTGAACCGGACCCGTTCATAATGACTATAATGAACAATGACGTGAGAAAGTCCTCACTAAGATAATCATGGAGAACTAGACATATGCAGGGAGAAAATATGTTCTTGGACGCGTCCAAAATGATCACTACTGAGAACCTGACACCGTTTTCCCAGGAGCATTCATATTTCCCAGTATGGTCAGTGAGAACTTTACAGCTGACAGCATAGCCAGGCAGTTACAGTTTTAAGAAGAAATACGATTGGGATCATTCTCCAGTCTTTGGTCCTCCACATCAGGAAAGGGTGACATCTTTTAAAAAACGACCAGCATTTCATTCCAGCAAAGGAAAACATCACACAAGCAATCGCTGCCTAATTAGTTTCTTTAAACAATTTCAAGAGTTTGAATCAACTAACCATCTCCCTGAAGCCCGAGATCCATTATAAATATATATATATGTATGACCATTTGTTTACTGAGTTGCAGAACCCACTCAGAACATCAGACAAAAATGCATGGTGATACAAAACAAGTTGAATGCTGGCCATTTACTATCCCATCTTTGCAGCGACCGCAGTTCCGGGTTAAATACTGCCGATAGATAGGAATGAATGGAACATTGTTTATTTGTGTTTGATCTCCCATTTTCAAACCTCATGTCTCCATGTTACCATGGACTTTCCACCACAAAATCGGGGAGGGGGCATGGGAAACAAGCCTGGTGTGTGGGGGTGGGTGAAAGACATGGGGAAAGTATTCAAGCACTACAATTATTGACTTAATACTAAGTCCAGAAGGTTGCAGGGTTCCCAAGTGAAAATTGACAGGCTGTTCTTCCAGATTGCACTGAGCTTCGCTAGAGCACTGCAGAAAGCCTTACACATGGCGCGACGACAAGGTAATGTGTTGAAATGGCAGGAAACTGGTAGCTAGGCTACAAGATGGCAACAGAGTAAGATGCTTCAGCTGGAGTTCCTCTGCTGGCCAATCCCCTTTCCTTTCTCTTTCTTTTTTCCCTCTTTGCTGCAGTTTTTCTTCCCCCTCCCCCCACCAAACTTTTAACTTCTTAAACTATCATACCTGGAGGGAATGGAGAACGGAGTCCAGAGGCAAGTTGCAGTCGGAGCCTGGAGCTGGGAGCCAAGTCGTGGCCGGAGCGCAGAGTGGGGAGCAGAGCAAGCCTGGGCTGACTGGGGGACGAGTCCTGGAGGTGAATCCAGGCCAAAGGCCCACATGTGGACACAGCAAGGCTTTGTGTTCTGAAGCCCGGTGGGCACAGGCTCAGGGAAAAAGCACAATAACTTGAGTATTCTAAAGATTTTCATTATCATTCTGGACTTGTTAAACTCTGCATTTCATCGCTAGTCTCTTTTTTTATTATTTCAATCTGTAACAGCACTGAAAGTATCTGTACCTAGGTACCCTGTACCTAAGATGGCGCCGAAACGCAACATTACAAACTTTTCACTGTACTTACTCATTTGAGTGCATGTGACAATAAAAGCTATTATGATTCCTCGGAGGTATGATACATTATGTCTTATTACTTGTCTGATATCTTTTCCCTCACTTGCAAGTTTTCTTACTTTAACAATATTCATTTTAACACTTTTTTGGATTGGCCATCACAATTTCAGACCCTTTGTGGTATAATTGAAATTTAAGTTTTGTTGTTTCACGCCTTTGCGATCTTAGTCTTTTTCCTCCAATCAATGGGGTGTGGAGCAGTGGGTGGGGCGATAGGACCAAGCGGGGTGCGGCGGTCCTCCAACCGATGGGCGGGACTAGAGTATCCATGTGACCGTCCGCTGCTGCGCAGGCGCAATGTTGCTGCGATTGAGGTCTGCTTCAGAGGAGATTGTGAGACAGTTAGTGACGAGTAACAGTGGAGACGGGGAGAGAAATTGACATAGTGTGGATTGTGAAGTTTCATTAAGCCTGGGGGTAGAGCCCAGGCTCGGGTTAGAAGCACCTAGTCCTGGGTTTGCAGCGAACGAGAATATTCCTGCAGGCCTCGGGTTGGGAGAGGCCAAGGGTTTGCCGCCATCTTTATTGAGGGCAATGTCTGCGCGGCCGCCATGTTTATTCGGGGCACTGGTCCGCCGGAAACTGCATTGACTGGAGGTTAAAAGGGGATGATATATGGGCCACAAACTGGAATTGTAAGAAGTGTTTGTTTCTTCTGGGTTTCTACCTTGGAAATCATTGATAAATTTTGTGAACTAATTTTACAGGATTCTCTAACGAGAAGCTCAAAAGAGTCATCACACCAACACTTGAAACTGCCACTGGATTCACAAGGATCTGAAAATCATTGGTCTTTAACTGTGGAATGACAAAGGTTCTGTCTTCTGGGAAAATGTATACAGGTATGGATGTGACTGTAAAAGCACTGAGATATCCAATATAAAGCAAACAATTACGGACGCTGGAGATCATAAACAAAAATAGAGATTGATCAAGAAATTCAGCAGGTCCAGCTGTATCTGTGGTGAGAAAACACAGATATTCAAAATCTGATTAGACCACCCCAAAAGTGTGTATTCAGCTCTGGCTATTGCACCTGAGAAAGGATTGACTGTATTGCCCTTAAATGTGAGTGCAGAGCAGAAGCCCTGTACTCGGAGGGTTTAGTTATAGAGTTATGGAGCTTTACAGCACGGAAACAGACCCTTTGGTCCAACTCGTCTGTGCTGATCAAATATCCTAAATAAATCTAGTTCCATTTGCCAGTATTTGGCCCATATCCCTCAAATCTTTTTTATTCATATACCCATCCAGATGCCTTTTAAATGTTATAATTGTACCAGCCTCCACCACTTCCTCTGGCAGCTAATTCCACACATGCATCACCCTCTGTGTGACAAAGTTGCCCCTTAATTCCCTTTTAAATCTTTCCCCTCTCAACTTAAACCTATACCCTCTAGTTTTGGACTCCCCTACCCCAGGGAAAAGATCTTAGCTATTCACGCTATCCACGCCCCTCGTGATTTTATAAACCTCTACAGAGGATTAGATAGGGTGGACAGTGGGAGCCTTTTTCCTCGGATGGTGATGCCTCGCAAGAGGGGACATAGCTTTAAATTGAGCGGTGATAGATATAGGACAGATGTCAGAGGTAGGTTCTTTACTCAGAGTAGTAAGGGCGTGGAATGCCCTGCCTGCAAAAATAGTAGGCTCGCCCACTTTAAGGGCATTTAAATGGTCATTGGATAAACATATGGATGATAATGGAATAGTTTAGGTTAGATGGGCTTCAGATTGGTTTCACAGGTCGGCGCAACATCGAGGGCCGAAGGGCCTGTACTGCGCTGTAATGTTCTATGTTCTATGTTCTATGTTCTACAAGGTCTCTGATGCTCCAGGGAAAATAGCCCCAGCCCATTCAGCTTCTCCCTATAGCTCAAACCCTCCAAACCTGGCAACATCCTTGTAACTCTTTTATGAATCCTTGCATGTTTCACAACATCCTTACTATAACAGGGAGACCAAAATTGTATGCAGTATTCCAAAAGCGGTCTAACCAATGTCCTGTATAGTCGCAACAAGGCCTCCCACTCCTATACTCAGTTCACTGACCAATAAAATCAAGCATACCAAATGCCTTCTTCACTATCCTATCTACCTGTGACTCCACTTTCAAGGAACTATGAACCTGCACTCCATTCTTTGTTCAGCAACAGTGCCCAGGACCTTACCATTAATTGTATAAGTCCTGCCCTGATTTGCCTTTCCAAAATGCATCACCTCACACTTATCTAAATTAAATCCCATCTGCCACTCCTCAGCCCATTGGCCCATCTGATCAAGATCCCATTGTACTCTCAGGTAACCTTCGCTACATCTCCAATTTTGGAATCATCTGGAAACTTGCTAATCATACCTCCTGTGTTCATGCCCAATCATTGATAAATGTGATAAAAAGCAGTGGACCCAGTGCCGATCCTTGTGGCATACCGCTGGTCACAGGCTTCTAGTGTGAAAAGCAACCCTCCACCACCACCCTCTGCCTTCTACCTTTGAGCCAGTTCCATATCTGAATGGGTAGTTCTCCCACTATTCCAGGTGTAATTATCAGAATAGATTTCAAAAAAAAAAACATGTATATAGTTTTGAACAGTTAGAACAGTATTTAGGCAGTTCAGCCCTTTAAGAACATACTGGCTCTTTGTAGAATAGTCCAGACTGTTTCATTTCCTACTCCATCCCCGACACTTTGCAAGTTTATTTCCATCATGTGCTGACATAATTTCCTCTAACAATCATTGATCATTTCCATTTTCGCCACTCTTTTCGACCCACGTTCTGCAGTTTAACCAGTCACTGCAGGAAAAATAACCTTGCCGATCTGTTTCTTTCCCAACATCTTAAACCTGTCTCACCCAATCCTTGTGCCATCATAGAATCATACTGAAGAGGCCCTGCAGCCCAGCGAGTCTGTGCTGCCAATAGTACAAAAAATACACTTTCCATCACTAGGCCTATGGCCTTGAATGTTATGACACTTCAAGTGCTCATTCAACTACTTTTTAAAAGTTGTGAGGTTATCCGCCTCAACTATCCTTCCAAGGCAGTGCATTCCAGATACCCACCATCCTCTGGGTGAAAATAAATTCCTCAATTCGCCTCTAAACCTCCTGTATATTTTTACCTAAAAACTGAACCCCCCCCCACCAATTATTGACCCCTCTACTAATTAGAATAGATTCCCCTTATTTGCCCAATTCATGCTCCTCATAACTTCTCACACCCCAATCAGATTTCCCCCTCAGCCATGTCTGCTCAAAGGAAAACAATCCCAGTCCACCTGTTCTCTCTTCAAAGCTAAATCACTCCAGCTCAGACAATATCCTGGAGAATTGTATCTGCAGTGCAACCACATTCTTCATATAGTGTGACAACCAGAACTACACGCAATACCGTAGCTAGCCTACATAGTGTTATTTACAGCTCAGTCATAACCTCCTTGCTCTTGTATTGAATGCCTCGACTGAAAAAAAAACAAATATCCCAAATGCCTTCTGAATCAATTTATCCATCTGTGCTGCTGCCTTCACGGATCTATGGAAATGAACACTCGGTCCCTCTCATCCTCCATAATTCGCAAGGTCATCTCATTCATCATGTAACCCCTTGTTAGACCACTCAAAATACCTTGCATGTCAACTCCCTTTTAAAATGCCTCATGGATTCGGGTTCTCCTACCCCTTCAGATTGAATGTTTCAATTGAACGGAAGTGAGCAAAGAATTAAAGTAACAAGTAACTGTAAGATCAGGGTGCAGCTTATGGACTGAACAGAGGTTGTGATTACTCAGTCTGTGTTCGCTGGTCACTGTGTCAAGCAGATCACATCGTAAACGGTAACTTATCTGCATGTAGTATATGGAAATCACTGTTTGTTTACATCTTTCAAACCGTGAGGAAAAGCATTTTCCTCGTGCTGGCTGGATAAGTTCCCACATTCGTTCAGTTCAATTTCACAGCCGGTTTTTGTGTTTCTCCTCACAGTTTTTTCTTTCTGCGTTTATTTGACGGGATAGACTTGCAGTCTTGAAACTGAAACCAAACGTCACATCACGATCTGCCAGAGTTATTTGCAGCCTCAGTGTTGTTGGGTTGTGGACATGGATGAAAGTAGCACGGTCCCCAGTGGGGAGAAACCATACACGTGTGCTGTGTGCAGGCGAGATTTCAGCCGATCATCTGGCCTGTTAAGACACAAATGCAGTTGCAGTGGAGAGAAGCAGTGTAAATGTGGAGACTGTGGGAAGGGATTCAATTACCCGTCGGAGTTGGAAACTCATCGACGCTGTCACAGTGGGGAGAGGCCATTCACCTGTACTGAATGTGGGAAAGGATTCACCCGGACATCTGAACTGCTAAGACATCAACGCGTTCACACTGATGAGAGACCTTTTAAGTGCTCAGACTGTGGGAAGTGTTACAAAACCTCTGGGGAGCTGACATCACATCAATTTGTTCACACTGATGAGACCCCATTCAAATGTTCTCAGTGTGGGACTGGGTTCAGAAAATTGGATTATCTGACTCGACACCAGCGCATTCATGGGGGCAGGCCATTCACCTGCCCTGAATGCGGCAGGGGATTCACTAACACATCCCGCTTGCTGATACACCAGCGAGTCCACACCGGGGAGAGACCATTCACCTGCTCTGAGTGTGGGAAGGGTTTCACTCAGTCTTCTCACCTACTGGAGCACTGTCGAGTTCACATTGATGACAGACCTTTTAAATGTCCAGACTGTGGCAAGTGCTTTAAGAGTTCAGGGGAATTGATATCGCATCAACGTATTCACACAGACGAGAGACCGTTCAGGTGCTCTCACTGTGGGAGTGGCTTCAGGCAATCATCTCAACTCACCGCGCACCAGCGCGTTCACACTGGGGAGAGGCCGTACAGCTGTTCCAAGTGCGGAAAGGGATTCACTCACTCGTCCCACCTGCTGACACACCAGCGCGTTCACACTGGGGAGAAACCATTCGCCTGCTCTGCGTGCGGAAAGCGATTCAGTCACTCATCCACCCTGCTGACGCACCAGCGCGTACACACCGGGGAGAGGCCGTTCACCTGCACCAAGTGTGGGATTGGATTCACTCAGTTGTCTGCCCTGCAGACACACCAACGAGTTCACAGCGGCGAGAGACCTTTCAAGTGCCCAGATTGTGGGAAGTGCTACAAAAGTTCCCAAGGACTGATGTCTCATCAGAGCATTCACACTGGGGAGTGGCCCTTCACCTGCTCCGAGTGTGGAAAGGGATTCAGTCAGTTTTCCGGCCTGGTGACACACCAGCAAGTTCACACTGGGGAAAGACCATTCACCTGCACTGTATGTGGAAAGGGATTCACCCGATCATCCAACCTACTGAGGCACCGGGGCGTTCACAAGTCACTGCAGTGATTGAGCTTTTAAGGTGAATTCAGGACTGAACTGTGTACACTTCAGTCTGTGTCTGTGCAAGCAGATAACCTCCAGTCCAGTAATAGACGTTAATACTCTAGACACAAATAAAATAAATCAGTTAGGTGTTCAACACAATTTTTGTCAGTTCTCTATACCTCTCACACAAGTTAGTTCTTCTGAAAGTGTCCTGTCTTTCCATCCTGGCCTCGAGCAACAAGTGTGAGAAGCTCATGGAGCATCTTTGTCACTAATACTTAGACTGTCTGATCAGCTGCTTTTGCTGCTTCGCTCCCTTCCACTAGCCCATTGACCTAAACTATCTACAATGCTGCTCGTAGTTCAAGCGCTGAGCCTGCAATTTCCTGTGTTGGGCTTAACTTTAAATAAAAAGTTCACTGCTCCTGTCCATTTCATAACACTCAGCCGATTGTGTATCCATGTTGCTGCTGTCAATTTATTCCGTGAACTCCATTACTGCTCACAAGTCTACGCTGTGGCATTTTATTAAATGCCTTCTGGAAGTCCATATAACACTATGATCATCATTTACCCTTTCCTTTACCTCAAGCAAAACAGCAAGTAGTTTAGTTGTACCTGATTTTTTTTTTCCTTAAATCTGTGTTTTCTTTAATTAATCCTCTCGTTCAAAATTGTTAGTCCAAAAATAATAATTTTGAGAAGCTTCCAAGCCATCGGGATTAAACTGATTGGCTTGTAGTTGCTCAGCTTATCTTTAGTTTTTTTTTCAACAAAGGCAAAATGTTTACAATTCTACAGTTTTCTGGCATAACCACTTTGTTTAAAGAAGGCTGGAAAATAGTGCAGTGCTTCCTGCTTTTCCTTCCCTTTGCAGTATTTCATCTGTCGTCACTTTAAGTAGACACCACTTGTTCAAGGATAGTAGGAACTGCAGATGCTGGAGAATCCGAGACAACAAGGTGCAGGGCTGGATGAACACAGCAGGCCAAGCAGCATCATAGGAGCAGAAAGGCTGACGTTTCGGGCCTAGACCCTTCGTCAGAAATGGGGGAGGGGAAGGGGGTTCTGAAATAAATAGGAAGAGAGGAGGAGAGGATAGGTGGAGAGGAAACAGACAGGTTGAAGAGGCGGGGATGGAGCCAGTAAAGGTGAGTGTAGGTGGGGAGTTAGGGAGGGGATAGGTCAGTCCAGGGAGGACGGACAGGTCAAGGGGGCAGGATGAGGTTAGTAGGTAGGAGATGGGGGTGCGGCTTGAGGTGGGAGGAGGGGACAGGTGGGAGGAAGAACAGGTTAGGGAGGCGGGGACGAGCTGGACTGGTTTTGGGATGCGGTAGAGGGAGGGGAGATTTCCATCTCCAAAACCTCTCTCTCCTTCCTGGACCTCTCTGTCTCCATCTCGGGCAACCACCTAGCAACCGGTATCCATTTCAAGCCCACCGACTCCCACAGCTACCTAGAATACACCTCCTCCCACCCACCTTCCTGCAAAAATGCCATCCCCTATTCCCAATTCCTTCATCTCCGCCGCATCTGCTCCCAGGATGAGGCATTCCACTCCCGTACATCTCAGTTGTCCTCGTTTTTCAAGGACCGCAACATTCCCCCCTCAGTGGTCGAGAACGCCCTCAACCGTGTCTCCCACATTTCCCGCAACTCATCCCTCACACCCCATCCCCGCAATAAGAGCCAAAAAAGAATCCCCCTCGTCCTCATGTACCACCCCACCAACCTCCGGATCCAACGCATCATCCTCCGACACTTCCGCCATCTGCAATCCGGCCCCGCCACCAAAGACATCTTTCCCTCCCCACCCTTATCTGCTTTCCGGAGGGACCACTCTCTTCGTGACTCCCTTGTCCGCTCCACACTCCCCTCCAGCCCCACCACACCCGGCACTTTTCCCTGCAACCGCAGGAAGTGCTACACCTGCCCCCATACCTCCTCCCTCACCCCCATCCCAGGCCCCAAGAAGACTTTCCACATCAAGCAGATGTTCACCTGCACATCTGCCAATGCGGTATACTGCATCTGCTGTACCCGTTGTGGCCTCCTCTACATCGGGGAAACCAAGCGGAGGCTGGGGGACTGCTTTGCAGAACACCTACGCCCGGTTCACAATAAACAACTGCACCTCCCAGTCGTGAACCATTTCAACTCCGCCC